AAAATTCTTAAATCTTATCGATCTTTTCAACTTAAAAAATTTTATCTTTTCCTAATTTTTCTAAAAATATTTCATCTAACTGATTTAAATTTTGAATTGATTTTAAGTATTCATTTTAATCAACATGAAAATTTAGAGGTTAGTTTATTATATCAATAAATTACCTTTCCATTTTGATAAAATCTTATACTAAATCATTATCAAAATTAATTTATAATGATTCCTTAAAATTTATCAAAACTTCTAAACATGTATAGATTTAATTAATATAATATTGTGTTACCCTAATATTTTTTAAGTCTTAGAAATTAAAAATACCTAATAATTGTTGAATACTCCACTATTAAAAAATTAATTTTGTTGAGGAACAGTTTATATCATATATTTCATTTGGGAATTTTCGATTTGTTATCTAAGATAATAATTGATAAGAAAACTTTTTATTTCTCAAATTCCCATAGGCTGACATATTTGCTTTTATTATACATTATTAATTTTATAAAGCATTTAATTCTTAACTTGAAATATCAATTGATATTTATTATAAATATTTTAATACATTATATTACAATTATTTGAAAACATCCTTACAACCATTTTTACTAATAAAAGATTCAGAAATGATATTAAATAGTTTAACAATTAAATTTTTATTATTTGGATTATATATTTTGTAATCTTAAAGAACTAAAATTAGTTCATTTTCATCCAAATTAATACATGGATATCCTAATTACTCAAATTAGTAGAGAATATATTCGTAAGTTAATATTTTTTATTTAATTTTTTCCAAAGAATATTAAAAATTATAATATTTTTTTAAGTTAGATTAATTATTAATTAACAATTAATTTTATATTTGTTAAATTAAGTCCTTTTAATTTTCAATATCAAAATTATGAGATTCATTCAAATTCTAATTAGCAAGATATAATTCAGAAGTTAAATCGCCTTAATTGATTGAAAACAGAATAGATGAACTTTAATGTAAGTGAACCTCTGATTTTATTTTTTTTTTAAACTTTTTTGATTTAGATTCAAAAGAACCTTAAAAAATTGTGGTTTTAGACTTAGTCAAAGTTTAGGTTTCAAATGCTTGTTCTTAATATTTTTAAAAGGATTATTTCTCAATACTTAATTTTAATTGTTGATTAAAATTTAATTCATCCTCTTGATTTATTTTAGAATTGAATGTGATAATAATTTTCTACAATTATTCGCATAATGTTTAGAATCGATTTTTTATACTATGTCCAACTAAATTATTTTAAATCTCGATATCAATCAATAAGCTCATAAATTCATCAAGTTTATTTGTAATTTTTTAAATAAAATTCCTTGTATTTCTAACAATAAAAAATTCATCAATGTCACATAATAAATGAAAGTCATCTATGAGATTGGATGTTTATACTTAATTAAAAGAATTATGTTTAAGGTCTTTTAATTTTGTTGGTAATTTAATTTATAAGGAATTAAATAAATTAGCATAAGAATATATTTTGTTTGGTATTGTATCATAATAATGATTGTTAATTCTATTTGTTACAATAGCATTAATTTCCTTTTTCCATTATTCCTCATTCCACTTAATTTCTAAACCTTGAATATTGAGTAATTGTTAAACTGTTTATCTGATTATTTGCACCCTATTCTCCCAATTATTTATTTAAGTGACCTCGCCTATGAAACTTATTAAAATTCTAATTTTTTTTAGTTGTTCAAATTAATTTTGGTCTTATATTCCTTTCAGATATAAATGAATTTTTTCACAGTCAACTTTAATTGAAGGAAAACCAATTAACATAATAATTTTTTTTTGTAGTAATTTTAAATTGCATTAAAACGTGATCTTATCAACTTCTTCATTCATAATTTTTTGTTACAAGTAGTAATAATTAGATGACTAATGATAAAAATCATTAAAATTATAAACGTCTTATTGCATAGTAAAAATTAAAATAATATATCAATTTTTTTGGTAAAATAATTAAAAGTTGAATTTTTCAAATAAAATTTTCCATTTGAAAAATATTTTATACTTTAGAAATTTAAGTAATTAAATAATTAGTGCTAAAGTTCTTGAAATTTAAAAGAAATATAAAGTTATATATAAATAATATTTTTAAATGGATTAATCTTTTAACGATCTCAAATTTCAGCTATAATAAGAGTTATAGAAGGAAGGGATGGTGGAAAATATGAAAACATAGCTTAGGTACAAGCTATTAGAGAGACTTCAAATGCAACAGAAAAAAATTCCTTCCTCTGACAAAGTATCAGAAAGTGAAATGTTATTAAAAAGAGTGTTAGCAAGTGCAGTAGCAGATTATTTGAGAGAGGCAAAAATGGATTATTCTTTGTAGATATTGATTCTATTTTAGATCTGTTTTTGTACCAGAAACAACATTTGGAGCAGCATTGTTAAATAAGGAAGAATTGAAAATACTTTTGAAAATTGATAATATAAAAGGATCAATATTGTAATAAATGTTTAGTGATATATTGTTATTGAAACCAAAGGAGCCTTTAAAATCTAATGCAGCAACTCAAACATTTTATGGGGATGCAGTAATAAATTTGGAATAGAAATTAAGTATGGTGGATAATATGTACAAGAGTAAAATAGAGAATGAATTGATGAAACCTTAATATGATATGGAGGAACGTATGTTAAAAATGAAGAGAGAATATGATTAACGTTTAAAAACAGAGATTGCAACAGAGACAGCACGTATAAGAGAATTTGAAGCTTAACATATTCGTTTAGAGGAAGCTGATAAATATAGATAAAAACTATAAGATTATAGAGAGGAATTGGAGAAGAATTTTCAGGAGAAATTAAATGTATTAAGGGAAAGAGAGAATGATACATTAAAGATGTCTGCATAGAAGACAAAAGAATTGGAATCATTAAATTATTAATATAGATAAAAGATATTGAAAGAACATGAGATGATAAAATTGAAAGAATAAGAAATAGAGAAATAGAGAATAGCAAATGAGGAGAGTTTAAAATTTTAGAAAGCAAAATTGGATGTAATGGAGAGAGATTTATCAAAGAAATTAGCAGAAGCAAATGGTAATGAGGATGTTATAAGAAGAAAGTATGAAGCATAGATTCATGCAGCAAAAGCAACAGCAGAGACAGAATTTTATGAAGAAAGAGAATAAATAAGAAATAAATTAAAATAATTAGAAGGTGATCTTAGAAATATGGATAATTTAAAAAATACAATAAAAACATTATAAAGAGAAAATGAATAATTAGTAGAAGAGAATAAGAAATATGTAGAATAAGTAAGAGAAGTAAAAAAGAGAAGAAAGGAAATGGAATATGAATATGAATAAATGAAAGAAAATTTAAGAGCAGTTAGTGATGCTTAAAGAAGAGATTAAGAATTATGTAGAAAATATGAGACTGATATAAGATTAAAAGAAGAAGAAATGACTTTATATAAAACAACAATAAATCATAAAGATGGAATGTTAAATGATCATAAAGTATTATAATAAGAATAGATAAAAAAATTATAAAAGGAAATAGAATAATATTAAAAGAAAGTTGAAGCTTAAGAATTATTGATAAAAGATTTATAAGTAAAAGAGAATCATTCTCCAAATTTTGATATACAATCAGCATTGTTTAAAGGTAATATAGCAGATTCATAATTGATGTAATATAATTTTTAAGATCATTCAAATAAAATGAAGCAAATAAATAATGAATTAGATGAGAATAGAATGAGAAGAAGAGAAGAAATAAAAAGATTATAAGAGAATGCAGTTGTTACATTAAATACAGAGCCAGCATTGAAATTTGATAATGTTTGGGATGTTTATAATAGTTCAGTCAATTATTCATAGATTGGAGGATTATAACAGAGATCAAAATTACATGATGATTATTAAGGAGGTAAATTCTTTTAGACAGGAGAGGATGCTTAATCGTAAGTTGTTTAGAGTGGAGTATTTTAAAAGAAAGGAGGATAAGGTACACATTAATAATAATAAAATATTATTGAAGAAACTTATTCAGAATTGATGTGAATTAGTTATATTTTATATATATTCTACATTCTGATGATTTTTACACCAGCTTCTTAATAAGAGAAAGCAACTTTAGAGAAGATAGGAGATTTTTTAATAGGTTTAAGCAAGAATGTACTTAAGCAAGGAAGTTCTATAAGTTTACCAAAATTTCTGTAGGATTTAGAACATACTTCTAATGAATTATGTTATATGCTTTAAGCAAGAGATTAAAATGATTATAGTCATGCTATCAATAAATATACTTAAGTTTGGAAGGATGTATTGAGATCTGTTTAAAATAACAATCAAATACATACAGAAGGTGAACTTGAACCATTTTCTAGAGCAGATTTGATGTAAAGAATGAAAAAGAGATTAATGGAAGGAGGATAAACTGGTAATTTAGGAGGGGCGAGAGTTGGAGCATTTTAATCACCTTTAGCAGAAAACGATCGAATTAAGAATCGTTAATTAAGTAGTAAGAACTCTAATATACTTCCATCTATTAGATTAAATTCTTTTGATTAATAAACTGATCGAACTCTAAATAATTCCTCAAGAATGCAATATGAATTAGATGATCATTAAAAATGCATCTTAAATGAAGTCTTGAAACAAAGTAATAAATTAAATGTATAAATTGTTATGAAACGATATGATCCTAAAATTAAGTTATGTATATCACAAGGAACTGATACTAATCTTGATATTTTAGAGGTTATGAGAAATTTCAAAAAGGTATTACTAAATATTCTCTATTTATTTAGGAATATCATGAAAGTAAATTATAAGAGATTGTATAAGATAGTGATAAACATAGTATGGAATTATAGAAATTCCTTAATGAAAGGATTGATCATCGATATGCACTCTAAACTTAACAAGTTACTGATAAATTAAAAGGTGTTCATAAATAAATGATTTAAAAAACCATGGATATTGAAACTATTATATTAGATACATAAAAATAATAAACCTCATAAGATATTATACCAAATATCTTAAACGAATTTTTAGAATATGTAAATGAGAGTTATTAGAATGTTTAACATGAAACTTATAAAGTACTTATGAAATTTGTTTCTGGATTTATTATTCGAAAAGTTAAATAGGATTCTGAGAAAAAGTTACCATAATAAAATTCTTAATAAATATTATAAGGTTCTAATAAAGATAGAAAGGCTCCTCCTCCTTTGAGAAGAACTGATAACTCCGAATAATTACAAAAAGAATTATCAAATAAAAATGTTGAGTTGGATAAAAAGTTTATGGAGAATGCAGAATTATGGAATAAAGTTAGATAAATGGAGAATCAAATAATGTAATTAAATATTGAAATTGAATCTACTAAAATAGCTGAAAAATCAATTGAGTAAGAACGAACTCAATTATTATATGAAAAATAAAAATTAGAAAAGTAATTATCAGTAATAACAAATAAAACATTTTAAGATTAGGCAGTTTAAGTTTCAGATCAAACACTATAATAATAAATATCAAAATTATAAAAAGAGAATTAAGAATTATAATAAAGAATTTATTAATTGACAGGAGAATTAAATAAAAAGAAATCAATACCTGCAGATTAAAAAAGTCTTTAAATGGATTATGGTAATAGTTAAGATCAGTCTAATAAAGATTCACCTAAAGCAACAAGTAAAATGAAATCTTAATTTGACTTTGCTTAAGATGAAGATAATATATCATTAGGATATCGTGGAGAATCAAATAGATAGATTTAATTTAGTGATTATACTAAAAGATAAAGTACTGATGTTGGATATAGAATGAGTTTTACTCAACATGTTAAATCTTAAAAAGATGAAAAGATTTAAAAAAATAATAATTAAATATCAGATATTTAATAAAATAAGAGAGGATTTTAGCATTCATCTACTGAAATTCATCCTTCTAAATAACCTAATAAATCAACAACAATAGATTAGAAATCAATATAAGAATTAGATGAAGAATAAATTTAAAAAAGTGGTTTACTTTAGTAATAACATTAATCATAATAAGTTAGAAAAAGTATATCTCCAAATAATGAAAATTCTTAATTATTGCGAAAGATGAGTTCAATATAAAAATCTGATTAATAATTAACTACTTCAATAGTAAGAAAATCTACTGTGAATTAAATGAAGATTAATGATTCATCTTTCCCTGATATTGATGTAACTTAAGCTTAAACTATTTAAGATACATTAAGAACAACATCAGACAGAATTTTAAATATGACTGATAGAAAAAATGATTTAAGTCCTTTAGATAGAAGAATCTAAACTGAAAATACTGATTAAACATAATTTGAATAAAATTAAACTATAATATAGAATGTACAATTTTAAAATACTCCTTAATAAAATAAATAATTTAGAGGATAAAAAAAATCTGAAACTCTATTGGTTAATAAAAATAAAAATAAATTTGCCAGAAAATCTACAGATGCTATGAGAGATATTTAAGAAGATTAATAATCTTCTACAAATTCTAATAGAGGTTCAGCAAGATTGATAGAAAATAATAAAACAAGAATACCTCTTATAAAAGAAGAAGATGAAATTAGTAGACCTTCAAAGTCTCGTCTTTCTTCATAATAATCTTCCTAATCTCATATACGAAGATCAAGTACTACTATTTAATAACCTATTAAAATGGCAATTAAAGTAAATGATGAAAATCCAGCTGAATTTATTGCATAATGGAAATAAAGAACAGTTGATTAAGAATAATAAACAGATATAGAATTATTAACTAATTTTATATAAAGTTTTATTATTAATATAGGATTACCAAATGATGTAAAATAAAAACTAATTGATACTATTCCACTTATCATTTAATCAAATAATCTTAATTTATTATCTGAAGATTCTAATAACTTTTTGAACTAAAAATAGTCTTTTAAAAATGTTGTTTAAAAATATGGCTTTGATAATGAAAGATTAAGTTCTAATTAAACCAAAAATCATAGTTCTAAATAATCTTAAGAATCATTACTTAAACATGAAACAGATGATGAATAAATATAGATGACTTCTAAATTAGATTCTTAAAAATTAATTGATACTTAAAAATTTCAAAATTAAATTCAAAATAAAAAATCAATTAAACTCATTAATGAAAAATAAAAAAAAGAAATAAATATGTAAAAATAAACTTCTAAATAATCAATTGATACTTAAGAATAATTTGATTAGGAAGAAACACAGTAAATTTTTAATTAAGCTGCTGACTTAAATATAGAATAAGTGGATTAAATGCCATATGAAGAGATTGTCAAAAAAATTGAAGATTAAGAAAATGATGGTAAATAACTTCAAATATTCAAACCTAATGAACTTAAAGGAGAAACTTTCTTGAGAACTTTATTTAATCAAATTCAAAACAAAAAAACCAAAGGTGTTGAAAATGTTTAAGATTTATTAAGAAAATTTTATAAAAAAGGAAAACATGAAAAAATAACTTATTATGAATTCAAAGCTTTTTATTAAAAATTAGCAGCAATACATAAAATGTGCGGACAAGATATGATGTGTAATCATCTTTAAAGATTTATTATGAGATTGGGATATACTTGTTCAATATTTTCTAAAAGATAAGTAATTTATATAAACTTAAGATATATAGATATTAAAAACTAGTACTTCAGTTATTAAACCTTTTAATATTANCTCGTCTTTCTTCATAATAATCTTCCTAATCTCATATACGAAGATCAAGTACTACTATTTAATAACCTATTAAAATGGCAATTAAAGTAAATGATGAAAATCCAGCTGAATTTATTGCATAATGGAAATAAAGAACAGTTGATTAAGAATAATAAACAGATATAGAATTATTAACTAATTTTATATAAAGTTTTATTATTAATATAGGATTACCAAATGATGTAAAATAAAAACTAATTGATACTATTCCACTTATCATTTAATCAAATAATCTTAATTTATTATCTGAAGATTCTAATAACTTTTTGAACTAAAAATAGTCTTTTAAAAATGTTGTTTAAAAATATGGCTTTGATAATGAAAGATTAAGTTCTAATTAAACCAAAAATCATAGTTCTAAATAATCTTAAGAATCATTACTTAAACATGAAACAGATGATGAATAAATATAGATGACTTCTAAATTAGATTCTTAAAAATTAATTGATACTTAAAAATTTCAAAATTAAATTCAAAATAAAAAATCAATTAAACTCATTAATGAAAAATAAAAAAAAGAAATAAATATGTAAAAATAAACTTCTAAATAATCAATTGATACTTAAGAATAATTTGATTAGGAAGAAACACAGTAAATTTTTAATTAAGCTGCTGACTTAAATATAGAATAAGTGGATTAAATGCCATATGAAGAGATTGTCAAAAAAATTGAAGATTAAGAAAATGATGGTAAATAACTTCAAATATTCAAACCTAATGAACTTAAAGGAGAAACTTTCTTGAGAACTTTATTTAATCAAATTCAAAACAAAAAAACCAAAGGTGTTGAAAATGTTTAAGATTTATTAAGAAAATTTTATAAAAAAGGAAAACATGAAAAAATAACTTATTATGAATTCAAAGCTTTTTATTAAAAATTAGCAGCAATACATAAAATGTGCGGACAAGATATGATGTGTAATCATCTTTAAAGATTTATTATGAGATTGGGATATACTTGTTCAATATTTTCTAAAAGATAAGTAATTTATATAAACTTAAGATATATAGATATTAAAAACTAGTACTTCAGTTATTAAACCTTTTAATATTACAGATGACCCGACTACACAATCTAAAATATCTAATACTCACCAAAATTTAGCTAAAAGTAGATTCACTGATCAACAATTTTATATGTCCGAAGAATAGTTTTATTGAAATTATGAAATAATAAAAATAATTTTAGATTTTTATTTGAGATGTATTTCATAAAAGAATCATTAAATAAATTTTCAAAGATATTATATATATACTTAAATTTAATATCTTCTTTAATTGAATCACCATTCAAATATACATTTTTCTGGACTAATTGTATTACCTGGTTTACATTAATTAAACACCGGACAGGTCTTTAATAATAAAATAATCATTTACTTAACAGGGCAAATAAGATAAATAAAACTAGAATTTCTGCTACTTAAATGGATTTAATTTAAAGAAAGAATTTTCTTCTTCAATAAGAATTGAATCATATTTTAATAGGTTGACTATGCGATCAAAATCCTATTCATTATAATGTTGTGCTTATTGAGCTTTATAAATTCTACGAATATCACTTAATGATGCTCTACTATCCATTTGCTACTGCATAAAATATATTAGTTTTTATTTTATTTTTTCAATCAGATCATCATCTACACCTTCTTCGGCTGTTCTAAAAGTATTTGTGGGTAAATTAGATTCAGGTGTTTCATTATAGTCTATCCAAAGTTTAATTCCTGTTGTTCTGCCATGAGGACGGACTGATTTAATCTTATCTCTATTTTCTAATGTTTTAATTATCTTTTCAACTTCTTTAGCATTGAGACCTGCATTTTTAACAAGGTTTGCTTTAGTAATTCCCTGTTTCTTTGAGTTTAGTACTAAATTGTATATTTTTTATTATTCTTCATTTAATTAAATTTCCATTGAAAAAAATTAATGTAGTCATATATGATAATAAGTATAACCTAAAATAAGATAGGTATTTAAAAAGAATCTATAAATATAACACATATATGATAAATATTAATATGTATTAATATTTAGTTGTAGGTTTTTATTTTAAATTATTAATTAACTGAAATGAGCAAAGTGATTGAAAATTATGTTCTTCAAGATGTAATAGGAAGTGGTCAATATGGTAAAGTTTATAGAGCTAAAAATATGAAAAACGATTAAATTGTTGCAATAAAAGTAGTGAAATTGGAAAAGTTTAGAGAGGTACCAAAATTACATGAATTCACAATTAATGAGATATAAACTCTGTCAAAAATAGACAACCAAAATATAGTTAAATTTATTGAAATGCTTAAAACATAAAACAATATGTACTTAATTTATGATTTTTGTAATGGTGATACATTAGAAGCGTTATTATAAAAGAGAAAATTCTTAACAGAACCAGAAACGATGAAGATTTTCGCTTAGATTCTAAATGCATTTAGGTAAAATAATAAAATATAATTAATTAGATCTTTAGTACGTGAAAATATACTTCATCGAGATTTAAAACCATCAAATATATTATTCCATGATTAAATTGTAAAAGTAGCTGATTTTGGTTTTTGCAAAAGTTTACTTCACAATAATGATTTAACTCAAACAATGGTAGGATCACCTATATATATGGCTCCAGAAGTATTAAAAGGATGTTCTTATAATTGTAAAGCAGATGTATGGTCATTGGGAGTTGTTTTATATGAATGTTTATTTGGATTTTGTCCATTTGAAGATAAATCGATAGCTAGATTAATAATGTAAATAGATAACAAAGAAATTACATTCCCAAAACATGTTAATTAATTATCAAGAAAATGTGAAGAACTTATTCGTTCAATGTTGTAAGTTGATCCACGTAAAAGAGTTGATTGGTAATAATTGATGCAAATTACATTTTATGAAGAACCGAATGTTGCTAAATAAATTACATGCAATGCTAATACTAATCCTATTTAAAATTTACCTTAAATGCTTAAAAAATAGGCATCAACTAATTAAGTATTGTAAGATAGAACCAATATTACTAACAATTAACCTTAGTAATAATAATAATAATAAGACTTTCAAAATTTAAGAGTCCTTCTAAGAGAAAGAAGCAAAATTATATTCTTAGCTTAAATGGTTTCTTTTTTATTAGAATAAAATACAGTTTCTGCAGTTTAACTTCATGGTAGTTTATCTTTCTCCTAAAAAACAGCTATTATTGCTTATTTTTTGATGAAATTAGCTCAAAATTAAACTGAAGTCATTAAAAAATAATTAGATTAAGATCATAGAAGGGAAAGCAGATGGGAAGAATTCTAAGGTAGTAATGAATATAAATAATTTAATTCTACTTTTCAAAGAGAAAGTGAATAATTATTAATGAATATAGAATCATTTAAAAATGAAGCTTAAAAAGTAATAAGACATATGCAATAAAATGATTTAACAACTTAAATTAGAAATGAATTAATGTCTCCATAATTTACAAATTTAAAACTTTATACATCTCTACTAATTAGTTATATTGAAGAAAGTAGAGAAAGATAAGTCAATCTAACTGAAGATTTATAATAAAAACTGATAATTGGACTTATTGATTTATTGGAAACTAGTTAACTTAATGAATTTTTTGATAAAAATTTAAGTGATGTCAATATTAGATTTAATGATTAGAGATATTTTGAATAAGTATAATAATTTATTTTAAAATATAGATGAGAAAAATGCCTAAAGAGACTCTTACAGATATCCTTAATTAAAGATTAGTTAATGCTAAGATTAAATGTGCTAAATGAAATTTCTTATAATTTAAATATAATCAATTTAATTTTTTCTAAAAGTAAGAATGATTGGATGCCTAATGAACATCCAAACGATCTACTTGATTATAGGCTAGACAAGCTCTGATGAATTCTTTACATTCATTTGAGATTATTGGTTTCTAAGGAAACGTCACTGATTAAGATTTTACTATTATCTAAAAATTAAATAAATTATTAACTTATTCTTTTAATATCTTTTCTTGGCTCACCCCTTAACCAAATGGTTTTTAACCAAATAGCATTTCAAAAAAGATTACACCAATACTCCAAATATCGACTTTACTAGAAATATTAGGAGGTTAATCACCCATATGAAAACATTCTGGAGGTAAATACCAATAAGTACCTACTCCTTATGAAGTAAGTTATAATTTTGAATTATCATCTTCTAAAACTTTACATAACCCAAAATCTGATATTTTAAGCTCATTTAAATGGAATAATATATTTTATGGTTTCAGATCATAATGAATAATTTTATTCTTATGATTATTTAAGTATTTAATTGCTGAGATTATTTATCCAATTAATAATTTAGCTTCCTTTTCTTAAAACTATTTATATTTTTTAATATAATAAGCTAGATCAGGACCATCACATAATTCTAAAACAGTACAAAATGAAGATTTATCAATCTCAACAGAATCATATAATTTCACTATATGAGGATGATTCAATTCTTTATGAACTCTATTTTCTCTTATTGCATGTCTAATATAATTTTGTTTTGCATGATCTGACCAATTAGAATTTAACTAATGAATTTTACATGCCACTTCTCTTAATTCTTAAATATCATAAGCCTAATTGTAATATTTATATAATACTTTATAAACTTCACTAAATCCACCCTTTCCTAATAAACTTAATACTTAATATCTTTCACCTATTAATGGATAATCATTATTTTTTGTAAATCTTGAATGTTCTTCTTCGTAAACTCGCTTTAATTACTTTATATGTAAGTTCTTCTCTATCTCTAATCTATCTAACGTTTCTTATAATTATTATTCCTCTTTTATTAAAAAGTTTAGTTTTACATTTATAGTTCTCATTTCTTGTTCCTCTTTATTTTTACAATTTTTCTTTTTATTTTCATATTCCGCCTTTAAATTCTCCAACTTTTTTGACTATTCTTTTGCTTACCGTAATTCTTATCCATCTATCCAAACATCAACTAAAGCTGTTTTCTCTCTTTAAATTACATATTCACCTAATCTAACTCTATTTGTTTGTAATTAAATTTAGAATTATTATTTTTTAAGCCTCTCATTTTCTATTGCAAATTATTTAACTATATCCTACATCTTTAATTACTATTCAGTTAAAGACTAAAAAGTATTTTTCATACATATACTGATATTGTTTCACGAAGTTCAGAATTGTGAGTTTCTAGTTCTTTTATTTTTATCTCAGATATTGCAATCTAGTTTTATTTATCTTTAAGTTATTTTTCTAATGTTGGATCATTAGGTATTGGGCTTTTATTTTTAAAAGGAGAATCTTAAATTGAATACTCAATTAATTTTTATTCACACTTCTTTGCTTTTTATTACTTTTTTTAATACTACAAATACTAAGTTATCTATGAATTTTTCAATCAATATACATCTTTTTATTATCCCTCTTTAGTCTTTTTTTTTTTCTTTTACTATGAATGCTTCTTTACAATTATATTTTTCTTTTAAACTGGACTCAAATTTTGTGATGTAAATAATTTTTAAGGAGAATTTTCACTATTTTATGAACATTTTAGATCATCAGACTTTTTATTAGAATCCATATTATTTTTATTGCGATCATTTTCATCTATATGTTTCTCATTTTCTATCTGTATATATTGCTCCTAAATGATTTCCTCTTTCGATTTTTTATGAATTCTAGCTTCTAAACAAATAAGTCGATCTAGTTATTCTGGCGGCAATTATTGATGCATTATAATTAATTAAATTATTAAATTTGAGCACAATAACAAATAATAATAATTTAATTAGAAATTTTTAATTAGAAGTAGATTTAATTTAATAATTATAGTTATAATTTTTATTAATTAGATCTACTCTATATTTTTAAATATTTTATTAAGGAAATCCTAATTTTTGGATTTTCTAAAATTTTCTAATTGTCATTCATTATTACTTGAGCTTTTTTTTATAAATTTTCATCAAAACTAAGTTATAAGAACTTCAATTGATTTCAATTTTATTCTAATTTATAGATACATTATAAATTGATTTAATATATTTAAAGTATAGGATAAGAAGAGAGAAACTTCCATAAAAATCAATAAGAATGTTTACCAAAATTCTATAAAACTAATTTTAATCATCCAACAAAATGAGACTCTTGTCACAACAGCTCAAATTTAAAACTTTTAATCGTTTAATTAGAATAATAGCGCTGAATATTTAAAAATAAATTTTATTGTGATGGCTAATTTTTTATAATAATAAATATTTTATTTAAAATGAGATTAAAAATAGCGAGAAAAGATTTTGGTTGGATAGGAAAAGAAAAAAATATTAGCCTTAATAAAATAATTTTAAAATTTTTGTTAGATTGTAAGTAATTACAAATTTGTAGAGAAAAAGTGTCAAAAATACCATTTTATTAAAAATTAGGAACTCATTGCTATACTTGCAATGCCAATAACGAGAAATTAAAAATAGTCTAAAAATGGACTTCATCATTTTTAAAATAAATAAAATCTGTATATTTTTCAGATATTAAAATGCAATCTATCTTTCATATAATTTCTTAATATTTTAAAAATTTAGATTTGTATAATGATTCAATCAAAGTTTATTTATAAAAAATCTTTATACTTTTTTATAGATTTTAAAGAATAAAAATTCGTCAATCGTCTTTGAATAATAAAAAAGAAAAACTCTTAAACTAATTTTGTAATATTATATCAATGAATTCGATAAAAAATGGCGAAAAGGAATTTTAATTGGGTGATTAATGATGAGACTTGTTTCAGACATTAATTTATGATGACAGATAAAAATTGTGAAACTTAAGAATCAGGATTGAAACTTGAGAAAGATATTATTGTGCATTAAAATATAAGATAAAAAAAAATTATCTTATATAACAAAAAAAACAGCAAAACTTATACAAATTTGATATTTTCGTAATAATTGTAAACAAATTTATTAAAATATATATATATTTGAAAGAATGTAAATATTGATTTTACACGTTCGCAATTATATTTATACAAACTTTTGCCTTAATTTAATTTTAATATAAAGAAATTTTGAGGTTAATAAATAATTAGTATTTTTTGATGCGTATTATATTTTAGAATGTAACAATTTATGAATTCTATTATAAAAATGAAAATGCTAAAAATGAAAGAGTAGGAGATTAAATTTAAAACTTAAAATATTAGTTTCAACAAAATAGAGAGAAATGATAATATAAAAAAAAAAAATAAGTGAAAGACTATCTTAATTTTGATTATGGATTTTTATCGTAAAAATATAAAAATAATATGGAGAAATAAAATTAAAAAAATAAACAACCTTAATTCCAATTTTGTTTAAAAAATTACATTTGGCTAGAAAAATTTAAGTTTTTATATAGTATAATAGTATTTTTTTAAAATAGTTATGTTAGTCAGGAAGCAGTAGATTTTCATTTATAAATAATTTATAAAAGGAGCTTTTTTTCAGTTAAAGGATTATATAAATTTTTTAAATCAAAGGTCCTTGCTTGTTTATAGAAATATGTATGATTTTGATTTTGTCTGAAGAACTTGAAAATAAGATTTATAATATAAAAATTAACTTTTAGAAACTTTATAATAGAAGATTTTATATATTTATCTTATTTTATTTTATTTTAATACATCATTAATTTTAGATGATTAGAATACCTATTCTAGATTTTTCTTATTTGATTAAAGTGTATCATTTATATAAATCTATGATAAGTTTATCAAAAAATTAATATATTATATAAGAATGAAAAAAAGATAAATTCTCTTGCCTTCACTTGCAATGTATACTTAATTTTGATAATTTATAGATTAATAGGAATAATGATCCTAATTACAAGAAGAAAGTCGGACGCATTATAATAATTCTTAGGTTATGCGGCCATTTTATTTGGATTAGTGTTACTAATTGAGATTTGCTGTTGTAGAGTATTCATGTTTAGATCCAAAGCGATGTTATTATCAATGGTATGATATTTCATAATCCAAATAGTATCAAAAATTCATTCAAGAAGAAGTTATCACCTCGCTTTAGTAACCAAAGAAACTAAACTAAAAGTAATAATAAAAAAAAAAATCTTAATATAAAAGCGATTAATAGTTAAAATAACTGCAACAATAAAAGCAACATTTTAAAAAATCTTAATAACAATAATAACTTGAATCAGATTTTCATTAATCATCAGGGGGAGATTCCTAAGAGGACGAATAAAAGCAAATTTAGCTACAAAGATAAGCAGAATTAGAAAAGCAAAAATTATTGTAATCTGAAAAAAGTGTAAAATAACTAAAGCAAAAAATATAGGAACCAGAGAAATAACAATAATTATCATAAAAAGAAGATATATAAATATAAAGGTAGTAGCAATAAATATAAAAGGCATCAAATTAAAGAGATAAGATTGTAAATTTTATTTTTAATTATTATAGAAACCTGAAAATTAAAATAACTAAGATAAAAAATAGAAATAAAAATAAGAAAAATAACAATTTAGATTAGAGATTGAAGAAGATGAGAATGACGAAGAATGGGTCGAAGTTGGAAGCAAGAAAAAATCCCTTGCACAATTGTAATAAAAAGCATAGCCATAAAAAATTTAGCAATATGAAGAAAAAAAATAAATATAAGGTAATTTTTAATTTATCTTAGATTTAAAATAAGAAGAGATTTAATTTTAAAAAATCGAAACCTAACCTTTGAATCAATCTTAAAAATAGCAATAGTTACAAAATGTAACATAAAAACTATCAGAACAAAAATAAAGTTCTTCTTAAAAGGAATAAGCAAAAAAATAATTTGAAGCTTAACCAATAGTCTAAAATCAATAAAAGATCCAAAGTTAAGTTTAAAGTTAGTCAACTCAGAAAGTAACCAATCTAGAAACAATCTAAATTTCTAGTAAAGAATAAAAAAAATAAAAAAAAAAGTTTGACGATGAATAGATAGATGAAGAAGAAGGATGGATATCTGTGTAACCAAAATAAATTAAGATTATGTAAGAATTATTTTTATTATTTAGATAAATGGAAGATGATTTAAATCAAAAAGAAGGACAAGAAAATAAATTGGCAAAAAAAAAGAGTTTGTTTACAAGAGAAGAATATTAATAATTAAAAGAGGAAGCTAAAAAGATAGAAGAAGCTTATACTATGAGAATAAAACAAATAGAAGAGATTCATAGAGCAAAGGTTATCTCAAAACTCACTTAGTATGAAGTTAAAAATGCAGATTAATTGTTTAAAACTTAATACGTTGCCGCTCCTCCAAAAATAGAATATAAAATGCCTGAAATTTAGCCTAAGTTTTTGAAAAGAGAAGAGATAGATTAATTGGTTTAAGCTAAAATGCCTAAAACTAGAATTACTGGCGTATAAGAAGTTTTTGTGGAGAAATCAGAACCTCCTATCTAACAAAATGTTAAATAATCAGAAACTAAAAAAACTACAATAAAATCTAGAATTAATTTCTCGAAACAAAACCAATAAGAAAATAAGGAATAGAAATTGTTAACTGATCCGCCCATCACCTTTCAAACAAATAAAGACCCTTCAAAATCTTTTTTTTCTAATTAAATCATTCTAACTGTTAACACAAATGGGAAAGAGCTTTTTGGTAGAGTCAAGAGATACCGAAGACCAATATAAGAAAAAAAACAATCAGACTAAAAATATAAGGAAGTTTATTGTGTAAAAGAAAATTTCTTTAATGAAGAATAAAATATTTAATAAGAGCTTTAATAATCCAAGTTAAATTTAAAAGAAACACTTGATTAGGAAAAGTAAGTTTAAAAAAGAACTGAAAATTAAAGTTTAGAATAATTGATTTTAGAGAGGGGAAAAAGAAATATAAAACAAAAATTAATCTAAAGTAAATTAGAAATTCAAGATCAGAAAAGGGAAATTTAAAATTAAAAAAAGCAATAAATAACATCTTATGAAAAACCTCTTTTTGAACCTAAAAAAGAGCAATCAAAAGAGATATATATTGAACCGCTTCTTGCTGCCCCTTAAAATGATAAAGGTTCTGAATAAAAATAAATTTTGAATTAAAAGTAAAAACAAACTTAAAAATAATAATATAGCTAACAAAGAGATTTGTCTAGAATCAAATAATCTTCGCAAAATAAATAATATATTTAAAAGTAACCAATATTTTAGTAATCTAATGAAGTATATGTAGAAAGTAACATGCAAAATAATAAATAATATTTAATATTGTAATATGAAAAAAATGAATAAGGAATAATTTAAGCACAAGATATAAAACAAACTAAAATTTAGTTATGTGATGATTCAAAAAATATAATACTTAATTAAAAGCAAGCAGAAATAAATAAGTAGTAATTTCACAGATAGTAGGAAAATTAAAGAAATTTTATTTTGGACATGGCAAAATAATAAAATTAAGAAAAAAAATAATAATAAGTTTAATAAAATAACTAATTTTAATAGAGATTAACTTAATTAGATGGTGAAAAAGTAGTAGTTATAAATAATGAAAATGTTATTGAAATTTAAGAAAACTAAGTAGAAGAATAATAAGTTGATGAAAATATTAAATTAAAATATGGTTAGCCTTAATTGGATGATGAAAAAGAAGTAATTTTTAATAATGATAATGTTAATGAAATTTAAGAAAACTAAGTCTATGAATAATAAGTTGAATATAATATTTAATTAGAATCTGGATAACCTTAATTGAATGTTGAAAA